GATATTTTTTATATTACCTGGTCTACCAGGTGATGTTTTCACTTTATTAACTCCACCGATTTTGGAGTTTACCATTAACCCCTGTTTACGACACACTAAGAATAGAAGCATTAATAAGGTTAGCTCCATACTTGGCTTGTTGATGCTTTATGTATTTGGCGTACAATGTAGGTAAAAAATTCCGAGCAGATTGCAACAACCATATTATAAAACGAAAAACAATGTTGGTATGCATTCCAGCAAGTTCCATTCTAAGCAGTCAGCTTCTGATTCATTCGGTCCGGGCAGATGTGCAACGACACATCTGCCCGACTTGGCAAACAGACAACGAAGATATTTAATATCTCATTGGGTGCTGCAGATAGCACTGCATCATAGTATTCAAATTTTGTATACTGGATGGTTTTTAGCTTAGGCTCTTGTGATAAGAACTCAGCGTTAGCGGTGCTGATGCGCCCTGAGCACTACCGGCGCTTACATATTTACGTGTCATTAATGAAAGTCATCAAAGGAAGATCAACCCGAACGCGCCTTGAGGCTCAGATAAACTATTGTTTCAAATAAACAAATTGAATGATATAATGTAAGACCGGCACGATGGTTTTGTTCAAGTCTCTTACGCACAGTCGTAAGTGCTCAATGACTCTCACTCTAGCTCAAAATTTATTTTAAACTGTGTGTTTTTTTAGACAGGAAATGATTCTAGACAGGCCGGTGCTAAAAATAGTTCTCTTAAGTATTACAGCAACTTGTTGTAAAACGTATATAAGGGTACGTTCGCATATCTCCATAAATTTTCCCGCTTTTTAGCAGTGTTGCAGTGAGCTCGTGGGCAGTAAATAACGATACTGTAATAACATCTTCAGTTACATGAACTGTCTACAGTTACTGGCTTCAGCTAAGTAATCTTTCAGGCCATCCCAGTGTACTTAGAAACACACGTTCAGCTCCCACAAACGATTTTCACGGGAGACTTGGTCGGGACGACCATTTAAGTGCATCCAAAAGGCCTCGCAAAAATATCATTTGAAAGATGTACGTGGCCCACTTATAGTACTCGTCACAAGTCCTTGGACCAGAATGTAGCCATCTGTTATGAGGATTCAACAACCCGAATCCTATAGCAACAGCTAGATATAAGGGGTAAAATCGGGCGTAGATTTCAAAAATGGGGTCAGAATTAGCTGATTCACAGTCGTTTTTGCGCTACAAGACTATTTTAAAACTCTTTCCAGATTCCCCAGGTTTACGGGAAACGGGTTGCCTTTGAGGTGGTCATTTGAATGGGCAATTCCTAAACCCATATGGATTTGCGCAAGAAAGTACAAGAAAGTACGAAACTGACCAGAAGCAAATCCGACTACGATTGTAACGATTTGAGTGCAAGGCAAAAACAAATATTTATTTAAACAGGCACCTTATCTTTCGCTTTGCTGGGTCGTGATCACGCTTCCTTCCGCGTTGAGTTCACATATAAAATAATAGAGGTTTACGTTAAATTGCTGATAAGGAGCATGGACCGCTAATTTGCTGATGTGCACCTAAAACTTGGTCTCATTGTCGGTTCTGCAGGTGCTCGTCACAGTCGTAACAGTGCCATGTGCTATCTGTAGACACTCAGCAACCAGGTCCCGGGTTCGCTGTCCTCTGAAGAGGCCATCTTCCTTAGCTTTGGACATGAAGTCTAAGCACCGTACTACGTAACCCTTCTGGCCTGGCGCCAGCTCTTGCTGCGAGGTGCTTGGCTCGGACATGTTAGTAAGGACGCAAATAGCTTACTAGATGCACGAGATGCTAAGGAACATTTACTGAGGCTCCTTGTTCTATTTTGGTGTCAACTCGAGGAGCTTCGCCAATTCAAATGGCATGTTAAAATAATCTGGGCCAACGTTCATTGTCGAGTACAATAATAGCAAAATTAGTCCAAAATAGCTAATGGGGGCCTTCAGAAAATGACGCAAAGCAGGCATTTGCGTGCAGAAATGCGATAGCCAACAAGTGCATTTCTGACGATATTTGCGATTCAAATATCTAAAAGAAAATCACACAAATTGGCTACCAGCTTGCCTGGCTGCGGGAGGTCGAACCTCGCCGATGGCAGTAAATACTGCGTTGCGACACAATCAGCTACGCACCAACGCCGCTGTAGGAAGGTTTTGCTGCTGCACCTTCTTAGAAGTAGCTTTAAGAAGCGATGTAGCAGAAGATCTACGAAGAAGGGCTTTATGGCAGCTTTGTAGCGGTGGTGTCGCTGCCACCTGCTTCGTTCGAGCCGATTTTTCCAAGAACTACACGGTTAAGTGGCGTCCCAGTCAGCGCGGCCGCCCTCCTAAAGTACGCTTTCTACAAGCCCAAGCATGTACAGCGTCTCAGGCGTGGTTCACCCCCTTCCTCGGACCATTGCAATGTTTGTTGTCGTGATGTAATTACAACTATGTCGGCGCGGCACGCGATCTGCTGTCCATTTATATTTGGTTTGACGTCGTCATTTGATTTTGTGATGTCGCAATTTGCAGAGACTCCAAAACGGTCTCTTCAAAATGCGAGCGATTTAGTGCGACCTACCCCCATAGTTTGCTACAGGATTTGTGTGGGCGGCATTTGGGATCTGCTAAATTTTCTGAAGGCCCCCAATGTGTTTTATTTTTGCTGTTTCTATAAAAATGGGATGACAAATAGGGTTGGCTCAAAATACTGTAAATCCTGAGCTAACGCCCCGTGGGATACTAGCAGGGTAGGGTACTAACGAAGAGCAAATCAGACCGTGTCAAAGTGTGAGTCGTGTTGTTGATCGTTGGTTATTGTCTGCTCCTTCGTTAAACATTGTCTGCTAGAGATCAATGTCGGCGAGGTTATCGATGAAGTCATCTGCGCCGTCCGAATCACCTCTTTCTTCCAGTATGTTCTCAGCCTCGATCGATGTAGCAGTTAATACAGTGTAGGTAGCACGCTTCGCATCAAGAGCCTCCTCGAAGGCGACACCGTAAATGGAATGCTTTTACAGGGCCAATTGATCATCTGCTCCAGGAAAACAACGTCGGAAGCTCGCAACAATAGTTTCGTTGATCACTGTCATCCTGCCCTACTCAGATTTTGAGGTGGGGTACTATTAAAGGGTGGGGCGCTGACCACCAGAAGCAAATATTTATTGGGGGTGGGCACTAACACAGGTTTTACAGTAGTTTGAGTAGTATCGTGTTGACCACTATCCATAACATAAAATCTCCGACCTCCGACCGGCTCCGACCTGTACCAAAACTAGGGAACATCATTTCATTTGAACTGTTAGAGCACATATATTAATTTAAACCTTATGTTGTGGGCCACACATTAGGTGCTGTGGGCCACACTATGCCACACACTTCATTTTCACACAAGCGAGCAGAGGTGTCGGCGAGGCGGCGTGGCGGCGTGGGGGGGGGAGAGCGGCTGGACGCGAGCGCCAGTAGACGGGAGGTGAGGAGCGGCAGCAGGTGGAATAAGAGGAGCGGCAGCATGCGGTTAGCGGCGCGGATCAGCTTGAGGCTTGGCCGGCAGGGTGGCCGGCAGGCTGCCGGTTAGGGTATCGTCCCGTCACGCTCTTCTGGGCCCGCCAATGCAAAGCGCCGGCGCTAGGCCTCTGTCGATCCCTCGAGTGCGAGAACTGGCTGTTTGATGCGCGCACGCTTTCATCAACCTGCTCCACAAGTTTAACTCACTCACTTTCTGTATTGATTTGATTTAGGCTCAAACGTTTGCAGTGTATACTCCCTTGTTACCTTCAGTCAGCAACATTTTGATTTCTTTTCTAAACGACGATGCGCTGAAGCGAGCCGATCTTGGAATCGTGCAGATCTTCTCTACATCACAAAGTCGAAGCTTATTCCCTTTCATAAACCCATCTGCTACTCGTTTCATGTAGTAGATTGCGAAGACACTACAGTCGTCGGAGTTTTTTGCATCGGATTTGTGTTAACGCCACACACGCTAAATTCAGTCGGCTTCTTCTCAGGATATTTCAGCTTCATTTCTTCATCGGAATAGCCGCACAAAACCTTTTGAACAGTTTCAACCTTTGTAATACCGTACGAGCCAACGTGAACCATGCAACGCTTTAGAGGTTTGACAGCAAGAGCTGGATTTTGAACGACTGCAAACGTCCGGTGTGATCCCATACAAATTAGGATAATGAGCTGGTCATATTTATCGTAAGGAAACGAAGCTGTGATCCCACAAAAGGTTGGGTGAGCCTCCGACATATTTCGACCCATCTTCTTAAGCGCAGAAAATATAATTCCAAATACATTCGCGTCCAAAACATAAATTCTTCCGTACGCAAGGAATGTGCTCCCTAATGTAGTATGTAATAACCACGTTATTAAGCCACCTTTCACTGTTCAACGTCTCAATATCGTTTTCCTCAACGACAAGGCGCATTTAGTTTTTGCCTGGTGCAAAGGATGTGTCTGTGTCTCGCACACAACTTAAGACGCCACATCAAATTCTGCGCTATAATCTACTTCGTCATCGTTATTAAGTAGTGACACAACGTCAGATGGAGCAGTCGCCGGGTCAGACTGTGCAACGGGATTTTCCAACTGTTCTGCTGGCATTTCAAGCGGTGGCTCGAAAATGTCTATTGACGGCTTGTCACCACCAAAATTCACGATTGGCAAATCACCATTAATCACACCAGGAAATGCTGGTTCGTCCACAATTTTCTCCACTCTTTGGAATTTACTGTTCTTTGTCTCAGGTGGTGTCTGCCAAAAATTATGAGGAGCAACGTGACCCACAAGGTTGTGGCGCCTCAAAAACCGAGACAGCCACTGTCGTTGAGCCCCATGCGACAATCTCTTGAACTCAGGAATTCTTTGGTCACAGTCTTCAAGAATAGCGCTACGAGTCAATTTAGAGTCATAATCACTGAGCAACTTGATCATGTTAACAATTTTCTTTTCAAATTCACAAGTCTTGGGTGTGGGGCCGGGATTGACCGCAATGCCGTTGTCAATTCGAGCATGAAGCTGGTCTTGTTTTGCGACCCACCCGAGCAAGGTTGTTCGGGTTATATTCAGCTGAAGCGACGCTTCCGAAGTACCCCAGTCTTGTACGTCCATGCGCGCTAGGGCCTCCACTTTCTGCAAGTCGTATAACGAACATGCATAGTTCATCTGGCCGTTTTGAACAGTGTAAAAGGCAGCTTGAATGGGTCAAGCGCCACGTGTACGGGCTACACGACACCACCTGAGGGATTCGTGGCGTGTACCCAGGTTACACGACACCCTTTGTATGGGTTATACGGGTTACACGACACCACTGGGCTAGCATACCAGTACGGCCACTACGGTTTTATCATGGTGGTTGTGGTGCTGAAACAGGGTGCGCATTTTCGCAGTTCGAACGTGTACGAAATTCCCGATATTATAACGGTAATTAATGCTTTGTGTCTCACGATGTTGCAGCTACTGGTTGAAGGGGGTCCTGATAATCTGGATCTTGAACAGCACCAGCATAAACCAGACGTTGGTAGCGCGTGATCATGTCGTTTAGTTCCCCAGCAGCGTGGAGACCATGAAGGTGCTTTTGAACAGCAGTGGGCACACGTGACATGATATTGCGCTCACTAAGAAAGGTAATTACCGCCGTCTCAGCCTGCTTTCCTCTCGCCAAAACTTGCTCACGATTTGGATTGAGGGAGAAGCCGACCCCAAGAAACAATTTCAGGTATCCGACGAGCTGCCTCGCGCTTGATCGTTGTTGCTTGGATGCAGCGGCAAGAAAACGGGGTTCCTGATCGTACCAAGCGTACCATGTCGCGTGCAGGTAGGTCTCAGAAGTCCGTCGACGCTTGGTTGGCTTGACTGGGTCGGGTTCAGGATCATGCTGACGTTTGCTGCTTGTATGTTGCTGCACAGCACCTCATACCTTCGCTTCTAGAAGATCCATGCGTAGATCCTGCCTCTTAACGAGCAGAACTAACTGGTCAATGACACGGCGTTGGTTCTCAATGAAATCACATTATTGCCTTGGTTAGCGGTTCGATGTGGGATCTATGTCTTCCTTGTCTTCTGGCAGACGTGTCGTTGTAGCAATATTCTGAGCAGCCAGGTGGGACGCCCAAACCAATAAGTCTGCGCGTGATGACCCTGCCAGAACCACTCACTCTTCGATACGTTTTACGGCTGGTCCATCAGGATTAAGATGCTTTAGCCGGGGATAATGCAGCAACAGGTAAGCTGTTAGAACGTCCAGGACACGGTGGCTCACGTTGTATTGGGCTCGTTCTAGCTTCAGACACGTCGCGAAGCGATACTGCTGGATGGCTGCGATTTCTATGTGTGTGTGCATCAAAAGCCTTCAAGTCCTTCAAAGGTACCTTCGCTTCTGTGCTGTATGCGCTGAGGGCCTTGCTTACCTTGTGATCCTCGCGGCTTGTGCTGAACATGTAGTTATACCCCTTGTTTGCTGTACTCATGTTCCAGTCACCACGGTCGAAAATCAAGCGATGCGTAAGGCCGTCACAGCCGTTGACGTGCTGCGCTCCGCCTCGGCGAAAGGAATGAGAAGAGAGAGAGCGACCTCGATACCAGCGGCCACAGCAATTCAGTCAAGAACTCTGTTGACGTGGGAGTAAATGGTGGGCGTCTTCCCAGTCACGACTGCTCCGTCCGCCGCCGCAGTCACAGCGTCAAGTGCAGAGTCGTCAGGATGGTCGAGTACCTCCAGGAGCGGCATCGCGGGGGACAAGGAGACATAAGCTTCGACAGGAAGCAGCGGCAGATTAATGAGCAAGTCGACGTACGGAGCGTATTGCACCAAGAGTGCCAGAGACATAGTGTACACCGGGCACGTGATGAAGTCTTCGTCGGGAAACAGCGGCAAGCCTTGCTCCTCAAAAGTCTTGAGCCGAATGAAGCGCACGAACAGGATGTCTGCGGCGTCAATGGTGCGGCTCGGTTTCTGGACGAGGGAGCCATCGGAAGCGCGTCCAAACAGGCACCACATCATACATAGTGGCGCTGCATCTTGATAGTCGCTTGCGGTAGTCACATTCTGATACAAGTATAGCATTATTTTACGCAAATCTGCCTTCGTGCATGGTGGCGCCATGCTCACTACCATGCCGTCTCTTTTCATGCTAAAATTCTCCAGCGTCTTCCCCATACTTAGCAACTTTGCCTCGACAATGTGCCGCTGCGTGAGGAAGAGCTCGAAAAGCCACACATTAGTATGTCTATAGTACTGCATACCAGTGTTGCGGCAAGCTGTTTACCCTTCTTGCCATCGTTAAATGCAAGATACATGCTGTGACGGGGTCACACAGCACCTTGCACAGAGGAAGTGCTTAGGGGTAAAAACTACCCGAGTGAACGTTAGTCCGCGTGTTCCCGGCCTTAAAAGGGAACGGGTTGCTACTTAGAAGAGTAGATTTAAGACTGATGTATTTTAAGTAAGATAAGCTTGGGTCTCATACACACTAGAGATTGCCTATAGTGGAGCTAAGTAGTCATGCACTGACTGGCTCCGAGAGCACCTAGTACCGTGTACCAGGTGTCCACAAGCGTGACGGGTCACTCTTTATGTAACATGGGGTACACTGGGCTGTACCCCCGTTACATCCTCCCACACTTAACTGAGAATCACCTGATTCTCCAATCACAACTGATTTTCCAATCAGAAGTGAGAGAATTAAAACACCAAAAGGTGAACTCTCACACTGAGCATGGCGCGGCTCTCAGGCACACCCACAGTGACTTGTGCTCCCAAAGCTCACTGGGATTTTCTTCCCTATGCTCACAACTGGGTTGGTCGCAAAGCCTATACTTAGAGCTGCATTATCCCCTGCGCTAGCGCGCGTACAGTGCTTTGGCACAGGGTGCAATAGCATCCGAACGTGTGGCATTCGCCCACAGTTCGCACCAGAGGACACGACAGTCCTCGCGAACGCGTCCGGAGCATGGTGTCTCCCGCGAGGGACGACACCGAGAAGGGCGACACCTTCCCCAGCACTAGAGGGAGCTCTTCGCTCACCTCGAGCCATGCCTTTGGCTCCAGCAAGGATTCATCCTTGCGGGCAGAGCTTTTGCCACGCTCTCTTCGCGTCTTGGTCAACATACCAACGGCGTGTAGATGTCCTTCATCGACACCGTGTACCGTGACGGTACACAACCGTGGTGGAGGTGTCTACCATCGACACCATGTACCGTACGGTACTAGCCTTTGGTTTGGTACGCTCACCACAAGGTTTCCCTGTTTGGCGGCAACAGCTTCTGCTGTGCTGTCGCCTGAACTGAATCATGGCCAGTGCTCGCATCGTGCACGACGCATGTGCAAGCACCGTGTACAGGTCCATGGGCCCCTACACGCGGTACGCTGTGTACGACACGTACCACAGCTACCATAAGTGCTCCGTACACTTCATGTGTGTCATGCACGAGTTCATTTCGTGGAACGCCCGGCCGCTGCTCGACAGCAGACAGTGCCGATGCACGGAACGTGCGTCGACTCACAGCGTCCAGAGCGCATCGGGTCGTGGTATGCTGCATATCCTTTGCACCTATACCAGTGTCTGTAACAGACACCATGTACCTTGATGGTACTCGACCGTGGTGGGTCATATCTCACCACCATGCCACTGCGGCGTTGGTGTCTGGCATCGACACCGAGTACTCGCGGGTACCAACCCATGGTGAGGCAAGCAGCCGTCACCACGGTGTCATGCTCGGCGCGGCGCCAGTTACGACTGCGTGCCTTGCCTCGACCACCACCTGGTCAGTTGTGTGTGCACTCGTGCACCACACTTGGGTTATGGCGCCACGGCCCATTATACCCGGCGCGTTGCGTACATCACGTACTGCAACCGCTTTGTCGGCGGGTGAGACGTTCCGCTCACCCTACTCGACAGGTCGTTCATGACCAAGGGACCAGTGCGTTGATTGCACTAGGCCCGCTCTTCGCCTCGTGTGTGGCTGCTTGCAACCCCAACACTGCTGATTCGCTTAGCGATTCCGAGGCACCTTGCGCCAGTGGCTTTCTTCGTCACTATGTCTTGATCGGCTAGAGCTACCGCAGCTCTAGCCCGGCTGTTCGCCTCCAGCCTGCAGTCGATGTACATCGGCGCCTGGTTCCGTAAGGAACTTGGTCTTACCTCAAGACCAGGGAGGAAAGGTATTTCCGAGCCTCTCCCCCACTTACACTCGAGACTATTGAGTCTCTCGTGGCTTGTGATAGCCACTGACAGCACGACGGCTACCTGCCTCTTGGAAAGTCAGGGAGGAAAGGTATTTCCGAGCCTCTCCCCCACTTAACCTCGAGACTACTGAGTCTCTCGTGGCTTCTAATAGCCACTGGCAGGCGCAACGGCTCTCCGCCATGTGCACTGCGTCGGTATGGTCGACCGCGTCGACCGAAGGCATTCAGCCTTCGCGTCAGCCGTTTTGGTCTGCGCGACTTGACGTCGAGCGAGTTGCTCACGTCCGGCGAGGCCAAGACAACCTCGCGCCTCGAGCCAATGGCTCTGCGCGCGGCGCTATGTTACTCGCCTTGGGTGTGGAACTCTGTTACCCACCTTGGTTGTGCGGAACTCTGTTACCCACACCGAAAGCGCATACAGCGACTACCTTATCAGTTATGGTCTGAGTGACCTTGCGTGGAACTTGGTCACCCACGCTCAGAGCACCGAATGTCGGTCTCCCTAAGCAGCTTCGCTGCTTGCGGAACTTGTTACCCGCAGTGTGGACCTATGTTACCCACCTGGTGAATGGCCTGTCGAAGCGCATACGGCGCGACGACCTTCGGTGTTGGGATCGGCTGGTGTGGCAGACCCACCCACACACCGGACAGAGTTGGTTTCCACCGACCGAGTCAGAGGAGTCCGGGCCCTGGACTCCGAGTCGCTTGAAGCGACGTCGGCCTGAACAAGGTTCAGACCCGACTTGCGGCGGCTGACGTGACGTGGCACTTCGTTACCCACGTCGTGATGTCTCGTTGACGACATCAGAGGCACTCGAGACCTCGTGTGGCACTGTGTTACCCACACAGGAAGCATGGACAATGCCTTCCTCTTCAGTTATAGTCTGGGCGACTGTGTGTGGTACTGTGTTACCCACACAGGAAGCGCATTCAGCGCCTTCCTCTTCAGTTAAGGTCTGGGCGACCGTGTGTGGTACTGTGTTATCCACACAGGAAGCGCATTCAGCGCCTTCCTCTTCAGTTAGGGTCTGGGCGACCGTGTGGTCCTAAGTTACCCACCTGGTTAGCGCTTAAAGGCATAACCACTGTCGAAGCCCGTACGGCGCGACGACCTTCGGCGTTGGACGCTGCTGGTGTAGCAGGTCCACACGCCGGGCAAAGACCCACGCCCGTGGTATTGCCGCAGCGGAGCATGGCCTTGCTGTACGCAGAGCTGTCAGCGCGTTGACAGCTCCGTGACGCTTCTGCGTCCTGGCGGTCTGTATCAGACGCCCCAGTCATGACGGAGGTGGGAACATGACTCACCAATGCTCCGTTATAGACCTGGACTGGTAGGCCCTTCTCAGCCTTGCCACACCAAAGTCCGGGCTGTGCCTTATGTTCGGCACAGCCATGTTGTTCATGGCGAGAGCTGCGAGCGACACCGCGGTGCGCGAGTTCATCGAGCCGAAACGTTCAGGTCCGTTGAGGACCATTGGTACTTCCTTCACCGTACCAAAGGCTAGTCCATCAAGGACCAGCCCATGACCGCCACTCTGACGTAGAGTGCAATCGGATGT